AACTTGAGAAGAAATGTAGTATTGAAAGCATCCTGATCATTGGCTTATTTATCTAAAATATGCTAAAACATTGAATCATCAAAAATTTTCATGTACAAACAAACACTCCCCATAACTAAAATTTTAATGTCACTTCATTTCGCAGAACTTGGAGATAAAATCCTACTTCGGGATATGTGTTTAGCAATGAGACTCCCTCTCTCATGCATGTTGTAGATCAGTTGTCAAGAAATGTTTAGAAGAAGATAAACAGACATAATAAACAGTATCATTTTGAGAATATTAAGAATAATTTCAAAGTCTGAACCGGGAAGTAATGCAACATCAATACAGGATGTTAAACCAGGATTTGGATATAGTAGACTTTGTGTGATGGTTAGACAATTACCGTATAGTTTGAGAGACGTGCAGCATTGGGCGACCCCCACGCTCGTGAAACATGTCCTTGGTATTTTCGCCACATGCCACAGGTTATACATCACATGAAGGAGTCATTAATATACACCGAACTGATTTCATTTCAAGTTTGTGCGCATGGTATACATTTATAAAACAATGAAATACTATTGTAGATGTAGATTACTGTGTTGTTTTCCTCACAGAAAGCTTAAGATACCAATCATTAGAAAAGGAAGGTTTTCGTAAGACTTAACGCTAAAAGTCGCTTTATTACCTGAACGATGTTGTTGAAATCCTATACGTTCTGAAGCTGAAGATTAGATATAAGTAAAAGTTTATATTTTTCCTACATTACATGTATATTCTCTTTGATCAAGACTTTTAAGATTTCGACGTTTCAACAGACAAGTTATAGCAAATACAGTGTCTTGAGATATTTTGAATACTGTTTATTGTCACAAAGGATAAAGCGCACATCATTTTCAAAGTCTCAGCAGTGTTTGACTTTTAAAAACTTCCTTGTTTTGATGTCACTGGTGTTGCGTTGGAGCAATTCGATTAAATCGCATTTTTACGTAAAAGACAAGTTCTTGCTCCTAATCCTAAAAACCATTCTCGGTATTGCTCTTGGAACAGCGTATGCTTTTGGAATTAAAAATGAAATAAAGCATAACACTACATTCAAAGTGCAAAGCAATAGTAGCACACTCATAATTCACTAAGAGAATCAGGGTTCATTTCCTCAGTCGGATACGAAAATGTATGACGATTGCACGGTTCGACCACGTTGGTTTTCCCTTAAGTCTCCTCTTTCGAGTTAGCTGTATATGTGTATGATAATCGCATATCAGTGCATTGTTATAACGTTTTGATTCATCTTTTGAATTGAATATGTATTGACCTGTTCGACCACGTTGTGTATATGTATATAATAATCACCCATAAGTGCTCTGATCGTTAGAAGAGCAATGAAATAAGATTGAAATGGTGCATTGAATTGCACTTATGAACACATTGCTAGGAGTATGCTTATTACGATTAACTTGAACATCTTTTAACTTAATATGAAGCTATAGACCCATACCTGCCATTCACTTTCATATTTAAATAGGTATTTAAAACATTCAAAGAACTGAGACAATTTTACCCCAAATTCAGCAATTATTCAATTTAGTCGCACGATCCTTGCATAATTAAACATACGCAAATTGTTACTGTGATATAATACAAAAGATCTTTGAAATAACAATATAAGAGTTGGTACAAATCTATACTGTCGACTATCGTTGTGTACTCGCCTGCCCGGTGTCTGTGTATGTACAGTAATTAGCACTTCTGTCACAAGCAATCTGTAGCGTCTGTTAACCAGATTTCACTGCGAGGAACACGATATATTACTGTGAGTGCCAACACAATAAATACATTTTTTTTACTCGCTGGTGTGCATTTTATTTGTTTATTAGCTCGTTTTTCTTAAAAGCAATATAAATCACCGTCCTTGAATAGAGCAAAACACGCAAACTTATTCAAGTGGAAGGAAGTGCACCAGTTTTATTTAAATACTGTTTAAAATAGTGTGTATTCGGTAGCATAAATTCATTTTTACATGTACTTTTATTATTTTGTGTTTCTGTGAAGTAGGTAATCGTATACGAGTCAAATTCGTTCCTTTTAAAATAGCACATGTGCCGTTGTTATATCAGATGCACTAGTTATCCTAAGATTATTCATATTTTAGTGATTTAGCGGTCTCCTACAAAGGTGTAAGTTGCTTCCTTGCTATAACACTCTAAGATGTCTGTCTAAGTGATTTAGCTGTCCCCTATAAAGGTGTATGTTGTATCCTATAAGGGTGTAAGTTGTTTCCTTGCTATAACAGTATAATAAGTTGTAAGTTGTATCCTTCCTACAACACTATAAGTTGTCTGTCTTCGTGATTTAGCGGTCTCCTATAAGGGTGTAAGTTGTATCCTTGCTATAACAGTATAAGTTGTCTGTCTTAGTGATTTAGCGGTCTCCTTGTTGTATCCTTGCTTTAACACTATAAGATGTCTGTCTAAGAGATATAGCGGTCTCCTATAAGGGTGTAAGTTGTATCCTTGCTACAACACTATAAGATGTCTGTCTAAGTGATTTAGCGGTCTCCTATAAGGGTGTAAGTTGTATCCTTGCTACAACACTATAAGATGTTTATCTGAGTGATTTAGTTGTGTTCTATAAGGGTGTAAGTTTTATCCTTCCTACAACACTATAAGATGTCTGTCTTAATGATTTAACTGTCTCCTATAAGGGTGTAAGTTGTTACCTTGCTACAACACTATAAGATGTCTGTCTTAATGATTTAACTGTCTCTAATAAGGGTGTAAGTGGTTTCCTTGCTACAACACTATAAGATGTCTGTCTTAATGATTTAACTGTCTCCTATAAGGGTGTAAGTTGTTACCTTGCTACAACACTATAAGATGTCTGTCTTAGTGATTTAACTGTCTCCTATAAGGGTGTAAGTTGTATCCTTGCTAAAACACTATAAGATGTCTTTATAGTGATTTAGCTGTATCCTATAAGGGTGTAAGTTGTTACCTTGCTATAACACTATAAGATGCCTGTCTTAGTGATTTAGCTGTCAACTGTAGAAATGCATTTTTTTTCATCCTATAACACTGAAAACTGTCTGCTACCTTTTATTATAGTTATACGGTTTGTTTCATGGGAGTAGAGAGCCAAAGAAAGGAAGTAACATTGATGCTCTGGTCCTGAAGTCAAAAACAGATATAGAGATGATTTTTTCCGGTTATGAAAAACATGTCATACATGTTTTTTATCTGTTTTCCCCGTTTTTGTTCCATACCCTGATTGCTGGATGAGAATTTATTTGTAATTCACATTCGCTGCTGTCTCTGATCGTAACTTGTATTGTATTGTATCTTTAACGTAATTATAGTGAGATAGCATGTCCGAGATTAAATAAAAAACATTTTAAAGCATGAAGTAAGTTATAGGTTTTGTGAAGCTGTAATACAACCTATTTTATTGTAAAAAAAGAATACAGAAGCAGGTTAAACCGATGTCAAAAGATGGAAATTCAACGTCGTCCTCTCTATTTCTTTTTCTCTGTGTTTAACCTTAACATACCCCTTTAAATACAAAAGAAATCAAGTGGGATGTAACACTTAAAAAAGAAATGATATACAAGGCCTTTACTAAACGTGATTACACAATAATTACAAGGTTTGGGGTTCTGTTTCGTTTCTATGACATTTGAAGGTACACAACTACACATTATACCTATGGAGGGTGCAACAGTTCCTTATGTGCTATTTTTCATTCATAGACACGTGTTACTGTCATCCCCGTCATGGTTCAGTGACTTTCTATCGACAGTGATAGGTAACCATGTTCAAATGAGGCTAAAGTAAAACACTTCATGCTGCTTGGTTTCTTTAACAAATTTTATGACATGGTTAGAAAAATTTTAATTTAACTACTTTAAAATTTGAAATCTACAATGCAGACTAGTTAAACAGCCATAACCGTTGGTTAAGATTCTTAGTGCTTACGATCGTAATAAATATAACACACATAGCAGGTATAGTAGATTACACACAGGTGGATGATAAGGTAGCTCCCATTGACGGGAAAACAAGGTAAGTGTACACAGAAACGTAAAAGTGGATGTAGTTTAAGTTCTCTGTGACGCCATGGCAAAAGCAGATCTACTACAGACGTAATATGTAAGATAAATATGAATTTATGATAATTTACATATATACGTGTTAAGCAGTTGTGGGTCTGGATGCTGTGGCGTCCTATGTGTGGAGTTATGTTAACTTGTAATAAGTATATAGAACATTATATTGTGAAGTAGTCAGGACAGAATAGTACATTATTATGAACATTAAAAGTAGTGAAGTATATAGTTTAAGTATGTGTAGGCTGGGTGCTTCATATTAAATACGTATCAGGTTGTGAAGTGGTCCACCGTCCATACTCGCGTATCTGTATAAACAGTTGCCCTGTGATAGCGACGGAAATTCTATTTTGTTACTCATACTAGTGTGGAAATCTCTGTCAGGAAACTATACCAATCTTTTCGCATGGATCATCAGTGTTTATTGATGAGTGGATGTGAAACTAGTTAGTATTTCTGCGGAATTACGTATTTGTATTCTTATTCTGCTGTATATATTTTGGATTAGATATTGACCAGGAACGAATATATTCACTAGAAGTGGTGGACAAGTATTCCTAATGTGGATTATCGTAACATACATGGGTTTTACACGTATGCAACTTAGCGTGTCTGTCTGTATTTGTTTCTTACATACCCATACAGCCAGTAACAGAGAAGATCGGTATAAGCTATGATAACATATTTATCTTTCTGTAAAATCATTCTTCGAACTTCTCAATTTTCATGTAAGTCACCCACCTCGCTAACACATTACTTTTGTGAGCTACTCGTGCCTAAGTAATTGTTCGTCCATTCTCTTCAATTAACCAATCAGAGGAACTCGTCCTAACCAACGAAGGGACTTGTATAGAAATAATGATTTTCTGAGGCCGTCCCCTCTGACGTTTTGTTTCTTTATTCTCTATTTCAGACAGTGGTAACACACATGAGATATAAAACATGGAATAACGACCGGGACGAGTTCTAGGCGGACGATTGTTACCATAGTGCTTTCGAAGCAGCTGTCGTCTGCTACTGTGATTCTGCTTAAAGGAATAGAAAAGGGAAATTTAATGCACTGGGAATCCCACTGTTTAATATTTTTGGAGTAATATACCTCGAAGGTAAGTATCCTGATATTTAAAAAAAAACAAAAAAAGAGAAAATATTTTTTAAAAAGTTGGAAATTAGATTTCTGTCAATTATGCCAAGATGCAATGATGATAAATTGCATTTTGGGATAACTGGCCCGAATCAGGAAAAGTAGGGGCATATATAACATGAATCACTAGGTAATACTTTGTCACCAATGTAAATACCATTGGATGTTTTTTTTTCAAACTCTGAAAAAGGTTTTTAACAGGCAAATTATACGGAAAAAATTAACAATATGTGATAAATTAATATCAAGTCAAGATAAATATAATATTGATGACAGTGCTAGTTTGAAATAAAGATTTTTTTACTATGTTGCTATGATAAGACACACTTAAGTTATCTTATGCTCATGGCTCTAAGTGTAAACACAACTAATACCTTGATGAATAACTTATTGATATATTTACATAAAAACTACTTAAATTGAATCAGGACTGTCACCAATCTGTAAAAACAACCTTGCTATACATGTTGCTCTGAAGTGTACATCTTAGGGTTTCATATACGTAAACTGATACTATGAAAAAACAAACAGTTCAGGAACTCTAAACCATCAATGAAGTACAAAATGAACTTGTCTACCTGGGTACTTAAAATAAGGAATGTATGTTTGTCGACTAGGTAGACAGCTTTAAAGATGACGTGGAATGTCAAAGAAAAAAGCGTGTCTTGTTTGAGTAAAAGTCATTTAGAGGGAAAGGTTGTCTAGTGATCTAACCGTATACCTGGGGAAAATGCTATGTCGGTTAATTTATAGTACATACAGTGATATGCACCGAGCAGGTGTGTGCGGTTTGAAACTGATTGAATTAAAATTTCGGTTGAAAAGAAAATTGCTGATACTGAAAATTGTTGGACCTGCCAATAAACAGACGTATACAATTTCATTTCTTTTGCTATTTAAGACCATATTTCATTTGAATAAAATTACGTATGCAACGTATGCAGCAGTTCCTATTTAGGCACCGAGGAAAGAACCAATGGGTCATGAATAATGTTTACAGGACTTAATCTAGTTATATTATTTTTTGTGTGTTTGTATCGCGATCAACACTCTTTCTGCAAAAACAACATTTTATTTTGTCAAGATTAATTTTTGGGTTACCATGACAGAAGTGGATCTTTAATCTTATGTGAAATTAGAAGCATTCACAGTATGTTCTCAAACATGATAGGTGAGCACCTGTATTTGATGGGATGTAGATCAGGCTTCTATGTTTAAATTATCGGGTCCCGGTTGTTCTAAAGTTAATTAAAATTTATCAGTGGTTAATGAAAATTCCAATTGCAACCATCGAACAAATAAGAGTGTTAAATGCAAAATTAGCACTTTAATATATCAATATGATCTGTCTCAAATCTCTAAATGTGAATGCATCGAGATTGTTTCCAGTTTTGTTTATTCCATCTTATCACTAGTAAAACCGGGGCCAGATATCCATATCAACAATTGTACCCGATCAGCTCCACATCGCCCCCACACCCATACATAAGAATTTAAAAAAAAAACGTACAAACCTTTAGACTCAAACATTTTTGTGAACTTCCATCAAACTCAGCAAGACGCTCAAGTTCAATTTGTCTGACCTCCAGCAAACAGATGTGGATGATAAGATCAGGGGATTCAGAGCACGTGGAACTTGGTACATTTCCTAGACCTTACTGTAGCGGCTATGCTCGTAAAACAACCGTTTTAGACATTCATCAAATATTTCTGATTGTTTTACTATTCCCATTTAGAATATGACACCTTTTCTTCAGTGAAGGGTTTCATTTAAGATCTGGTAAATATAGCAGGCGAAATGGTCACCTGGTGATGTTTTTAAAATGGAAACAACCATCTGTACAAGTCATAATTAATTGGATTATACATGTGGTCTAGGACACACGTATCATTTCACAGCGCATGCTTTCTAGCCTTGTTGACTGTAAGGTTGATAATGCCTAGCCATTTATACGAAGTTTTCGTTCATTCGAGTTTATGATACAGTATATGTCCTTCCATGTTAACTTTATGAACGTTACGTAGGAACCAATGTCATGTAACCGTTTCGTTTTGAAAAATTCGCGATTTTCCTTCCATCATATTTGCTTATAGTACATATGATCATTTTTCTTTGAATCTGATATAAAATACCACTTTGCCTTGAACATTTTAAATTCGGCAGTTTTCTTATATACAGATATCGCATAATCAAGGAACGATTTTTCTCTAAATTAGTCACATTTATGGTTTTGTATCAATTTTATGTTCTTAGTTATAGCATTAAAGAGAATTTAATGTGAATATAGCCAGATCTATTATAAGATCTAGTTCGTGTTATCATTCAGGAATAAAGTTTCAGAAATGAAGTTGTTTAAGCTCCCTTCAAGATTACTACCGACTGTATACGCCTCTATAGACTTATCATATTCAATTAAATTTTCAAAAGTAGCAAGATAAATAGAAGTCAAAATGGGACATAGCAGCCCGAATGTAATGTAGTTAGAAGGATGTGTCATCTTTTGCAGTATTTGTTTACACTTTTATGAGCTGAACAGCAAATTACGAGCAAATCATAAAAAACCCGAGAGGATGGAGGAATGTTGAAGCGTTGCAAATTACAAACTATGATGTATAATTATCTTGACCGATATTTTCTGCTGTGCTAATATATAACATTGATTAAGTTTCTGGAGGTTTTTTCTTCAATTGGTTAGGTATTTGAAATATCATATTTGAAGAATCGTGTATAAAAATATGGTTGAACCTTTTTATTAAAAATCCCAATTATATATCATTTTTGATATGAACCTATTTCTCTTCAATGAGAAGTAATATGCCTTCTGTATCTCATAATGCATGCCGAGAGAGACAACAAATAAAAGGACACATATTGTAGGTACAAATGGAATTTCCGATACTGCTGTATCTTACTATATGTTGCATAAGGCGACTAACAATTCCCTCCTCTGCAGAATCGGGAGATATCTTCCATTAATACCGAGGGTAAATTAAATTGGAAAGGCCAAAATATATCTGCCCCCTCCCCCCAATTGTAACACTTAGGATCTTGATGTTTCCCTTTCTTTCTTGTCGTCTCTTTCTTCTCTGTTTTCCTCTCTTGAGGTTCCCCGGACATTTGTCTTCGCGCAAACATGGATGTATTTGTATCATTATACTAGACGTAACGTGTTAATTTTAGATGTCAAAGAAACTTATGTGAGCTTTGTTATGTGAGTTATTAGTGTTAAGTTGGTAATGTGGTTAATTTAGTGTCTATGAAACGGTCCGTTTAAACAGTATTTGTGACATTTAAGATATGCACATACTGAAGTGTTTGTGGGTAGCCGATGTGGCATACACGAGTAGATTCTGCGAATGTGCAAAACCGATCAGAGGAAACATCTATGTATTTATCATGCATGCATTTTCAGATGACGGTTTCAAATAATTTACACACACACACACGTTGTGAAATGGAAATATCAGAGGTATAGTACTTGTACATCCATATGTAGAGGTGGTGATATAAAGTCCGATATTTTCTAGTGGAAGCAAGTAGTACGTCACAATTACGTTTTCATATTGGGTTTAGTATGAAATCAAATATATAAATGTTTCTCTAATTCCTGTGTACTTGCTTGTAGTGGTACATGATTTGGTTTAGCTACCACGATTAAAGTTTGAAATCAGTTACGCAGTTGATCAGCTCTTTGGATTGGATTTAGTGTCATTTTGTCTTAGCTATACAAAAATGCAAATAACAGCAATTTACCATGAGTCGTGTGGATCTTTATATGAAATAGTTTTAAAAACATAAACAAAACAACAAGAAACAATGTTAAGTTACTTTAACGTTCACTGTGTGTGGATTGTTTTCAAGATATCATCAGATTATCGCCTGTGCATCATTACCATTTCTCTTTCGTCTTGTTTAACATGTATTCATTATCTTACTTTGATCTATTTAACAGTTATCATGTTTTTTTCCAAGAATTGATAAAAAATATCTCTTTTAAGATATGAATATTTTCTTACATAAAACACCATGCTTTGGGCTATAACAAGCGACCTGAAGACTTTATAGCAAACAATTTAATCATTTAGCATCTTAAATGAGTATTAGCTGGTATAGACTACTGTGATACCCTTTTACTTGTGTTTTGAATGTATCGTTTTTCTTGTCTTCGACTATAGATACGTCCTGTTTTTATGTTTACTTAAAAGACATATGCTCTCGCAGATTTTAACAACCTAAGTCTGCAGTGGTCATAAAAAGTGAATTTTATTTCAAACGAGAAACATTCTCAACATGTTGTACACCTGTTCCAGCAAAATAACAATGTTATACACAATAGACGTTAAATATATCGGAAGCCATGAACAGTAAATTATGTAAAAGCATTCAAATAACAAATCCTCATTTAGAAAATGAATAATCCTTTTCTTTTGAAAATACATTTAAAAAGCAACAAGGAAAAACGAGACTTTGTATTATTTAGTTAATAATTATGTTACAAATTCGGCAAATTTATGTAGTTTGTCAGTCGTTGAATGCATTCTGTCAGCTAGAAGTCTCACGAGTTCGTAATTTGTGTTATAAAGAAGAGATAGTTCTTTATGACACGATGTAATGAATACTTTAGTTACCACACCGTTGTAGTGGAGAAGATTCTTAACTAACGAGGATTTTGACACTGTGATAATTAGAAAATGACACCACGTGTTTTACACCTGATAAGTACCGAGATAAGTACCAACTTTGTACTGTAGGTGTACCGGTATAGCTAACTTCTCTAATGGTACGCCATATCTCTTCGTTTGAAGACAACTCAATAATGTTAATGATAATCTGTCTTCAGTTTGTACGTAGTAATTGATAACGAAATACTTGGTCACTAGATGCGATATGCACCGTTTTATAGGAGGCTCTTTGTACTTAAAGTCGACAAAAGTCAATGTCGCGTGATAAAATTATTGATAAACTCATGTAATGTATCAAATCGTCTATCACTTTGTAAAATCTTTTTAAAAAACTGAGGTATATAACTAATTCTACACAACTAAAATATCAATAGGTAACACCATTTGAAATCGATATCACTGCAACCAACAATTCCTTTATTTCGAAAATCAGTTGAAAACTTTGTATGATAGATTTTTTCTTTTTCCTTTTCAGACAGTATGGGATGGATAGCAAGATTGGCTGTACTAGCCACTGTAGTGGACGTTATATATGCACGTAAGTAATAAAGTTTTCTTGTATACGTTTCTCACATGAATAGTTGATTGTTGTGTTGTAAGGCTATTTACCTACTTGGATGTGTCCTACATATATACAAACAGTTACAGTGTGTCTAATACACAGAATTCTTACCGTGCTCCCTATTATAGCACCGAATATATATATACAGAACGCTTAGGTCAGCTTATTACGGCTTTGTCGGCTGGAATGAATGGGAGTTTGGTATTCAAATACTATTTGTGTTAAAAAAAATAATCGTGACTTATTTTTAAATTTCATTTTGGAATTACCACACGTGTATATTCACGATAATATAAAAAACTAAAGACAAAACACTTTCTGATAGCGTCGGCTGCTTAGTGTAAGGTTATTATGGCTTGACATTCATTTTCCAGTGTGGTATGTGAAGTGCATCATGCTGCAATTCTGTGTATAATCATTCTATGCATAAACACGTCGAGTGCTACCGCTTGTCGTACCGGCTAAACGCAAGTGGCAATACAAAACATAGGTGGCTTTAATTGCACGATAATATATCACATTCCTTATAAAGTCAATATCAATTTCTGTTTTTCTTCAATTTCACCCCAAATATATATGAATTTTATTTGTCATTTTAAGTTTAGTTTTCGGCTGTAAAATTGTCTTTTTATTCAATTATCATATTCGAACTCCAATTTTAATTTTGATGAAAAGCAGTGAACATGTATAATTATTTCTAAAAAAGATACCTCTATTTTCAAATCTTTGAGAAAGATAAACAATGGCAGAAAAATACGCAAACGTGATAAAATTACGTTTTTTCACGACCATCTTGACCTCGATAATATCTCAAACTTGGACGTTTATTCAGCAAAAATGGTGTTGTCATAACATATTATGTAGCATACCTCATCTGATAAGCGAATTGATTGAAATAGATTGCTCTTTTTTATACACACTCGGCACTATAACAGCATCTAGTCTCTAATCGAGGAGCCTATCGGAATAGTGGAAAACATCTTTAGAATTATGACAATGTGTATAACAATGCATTCGTTATAAAATTAATATAAGTACCAACAGCTGGTTCTCCACACTGCAATTGACATCGTACATAATCGTCTAAATCTAATTTGTTTTTTTTTTATTTTTACATTTATGCTTGGTTCCAGATAATAATAAATTGTTTTCTTATTTTCTCATTAAGCGTGCGTTTTTCTCGGAATTTTAAGACATTTAATAGTACATTATATATGTTAAACATATAAGGGTTGTTCAAAAGACACAAAAGTGGATAACACTTTTCAATATTATAAAATAATTAGATACTTTAATGCCAAATATAGACTGGTCCCATTCTCTAGGGCATCCAAATCATAAGTAGAATTGAGACTTGTTACTCTGATCTCAATGATATATCTGACTTCCAAAGTCGTTTGGTTTCACTTTAAGATATATTGATGACGTTTTGTCTTTAAACAACAAGAAATTGTACTTACCACGTCAATCTTATATACCCACCAAAACTGGAAATCAAGGACACTACAACGAAACATGAATAGATTTTCATCAAGCTGTGTGATAAACGTGATGATTTCAATTTCTCTATTGTGAATTTTCAGTTTCTGAATAGCAAAATCCTTGCATAACCAACACTTGATCTTTACATGTTGCAACTGATTAGAGATACAAGGGCCTATTTCCCTTATCAAGATTTTCGTGCAGGAAGTTGTCAATTGAAGGAAAAACTAGTAACAAATGGTTTCAAAAGCTACGGGTTGAAGAAAATTATTGGAAAGTTTTACGGTCATCAAAGTTATCTCATTGAGAAATATTATAATTCGTTATACGATATGAAACAGGATGTGTTTAACGCTCGTTAGTTTGCCTATTGACTCTGGTGTTGTATATCTTGTTCTCATTAGAGAACGTGACATTACTTACTTGAATTGACAATGTTTACATTGTGGTTGTCGTCAATGGATCAAATGACGCTTACTCTTCCGGATAACCTGGTCTTATTCTTCTTTTATTTTTTCAGGAGTCTCCCTGGAAATCTTTCTTTTTTCATATTTTGCCCTCGTTTTATTGAATTTGAGTTTGGATTAAGGTCGTGTTGACATATTGGTATTGTTGTTTATTGATCACAATTAATGTAAAATTAAAAAAAAAAGTTTTATCCAAAGCGATTTCATATGATGATGATTCTTTATTAGTCAAAACAAAAAAGGCTTCAGAAATGTAATTATTTGCATCGTAAAATTTGGAAAAAATATTGATGTCCGTCTCATTTAAAATATTGAACTAAATAATGCAGAGACTTTAAAAAAACTCTCAATGGTATTTACGTCTTAATGAGGTAATAATATAGATTTTGACATGATTAATTGGAAAACGAAATTTATTCGTATGACACCGAGCGATAGATTCGATATTCATTGATATTCATTGATCATTGATATTCTGTCACTCTATCATTGCACTACTTAAATTAAGACCCTGGTGTTATAAATTTACCCGAATAATACAATGTACTAAAATATAACGATAACTACTAATTAAGCATAATTAGCTGTAATCGGCTTCTAATTAGGATTTAATAAATCAGAAACAAAATCTTTGATTGTTAAATGTTATATAAATCTTTGGAGATATATTGCACATTTCGTCTTTGAAGGATGTTTAAGTTGACTATAAATCACTAGACATATTTTCCAGTTCACTGCAGCGAATATGCTTGATTGGTAACTTCAGGGGTTATGTCGGTGTGTCTTGAATTGTCGCCTATCGATAGACATCTCACCTTCATACCGTAACGACGGACATAGACAGTAATCTACCATATAGGACATTATAGACTCGATAGCGACTACATATATCGGTGACCAGCACTATTGTATATCGTTCAGTCTATTATCGGTTGTTTAAAGTGTTTCAAAACAAAATGTTAAAACTAAACCTTAGATATTTCTTCTTGTAAAACCAGTCAAATGCTCGCTAGTTTCAAAATGATTACTAGGGTATGAAAACAAAGCAAAAATATTTTGTAACCATGTTCAAATAAAATTTTAAAAGGTGGGTCTGTCTTCACGATATGTAAGGTATGTAGAGATATTTGTATAACATTTTACAACAGCAAGGATTCCAAAATATTTGCGTTGAGAAAAAAGTGATATTGATATTCACACATTTAGCAGACAACTTATAGAATAATTAGATAATGTTCTGAAATTCAGTTTAGACGTTGTGAAGTTTTATGCTTATAATAGGACGGGTTATTTAACACGCTGCCGTGTGACTCGCACAGATCAACAATTCTTCGCTCAATTTAACGATGAAATTGATATAGCTGACTTCTAGAGTAGCAGTGAGAGTAAATCTGTCATTCAGTAGCTTTTATGGGGGTAAATTACTTTAATATTCTTAAAATGAATTATTTTGATGATGCTTATACATTAAATTTAGCCTTTCAGTATGACTTTGTCTGGAATACCATCTCTTTTTGCATGTCTTAAATTTATTTTTGTAGGTAACGTCCTCGAAAATGCTAATTATTGTTACCCGAAATATACAGGTGTAGACAGCCATTTTTTGGCGAAATTCGTTGTTATCAATAATTGTCTTCCTTTCGTTTGGTCGATACGCTAGTGGTATCTGGCAGATCGAATCCAATAATCATGAGGTATTTAAGATTGTTTAACTGTTAGGGGAACATATAGAACATCTTCCCTTAGGTAGTTTTTTCGTAATTGATTAGAAAGATGACTTTTTATAGAATCGTCTTATTGCTTAGACTGACTTCCCTGACTATATAATTGCCTAAATAGACTTACACTTCTGTTTTTGGTTTCTAATCCTCTGAGCCCTTGTATCACCAAAATAGATGGATGATCTTTTGTAAATGGTATATAATTTGTCTATAACTTAATTAATATTTGAAGTTGTTATTATCATGTTGGAATGTCTAGCCTTTCCCACAATTACCAGCGTTAGGTTCGACATTTAAATGAAAATTGTAAATCTGGTCATATTATCTACATATCTACATTTATAAGAAATATTATCCCATCGCCATTCTGATTTAAGTCAAAGATTTAGAAGTATTTTATAGGATATATCGATGCCATACCTGCTTTTCCAAATCTTTTGTATCGTCCAATTTGTTACATACATGTATAATTGACAACAACTGTTTCAGTGTTACGTATAAATATAATCTCATTTCAGCGCAAATAATTTGCGACTCACCGTAACGAACACGTGCAATCACCTGGGTGGCCTGCTATACTGAGTTACAAATTCTCACTATCTAGTTTTGTTACATTACCAGTATCGTACCGGCCACAATGCTGACGTTGTTCACACCTGTTTTCTACCCCTTTCATTAGTCAATACGGACCCCTATAACCTGCTCCTATCCTGTACCGCTTTATGATTGATGGGTTCCACATACAGGGTCACGTAAAACAAATGGGTTGTGTTTGCTCAATGAACGCGCGAAAGTTATATTCTGCTTTGATAATGTTAAAGCCTAGCATGCGAATTTGTATCAGTCAACATTATTTTTATTTTGTGTGCATATATAAATATACTCATGCACATTTTAAAAATGAATGTTTGATGACATTTTGAATGAAATAAAAACTTTATCGCTATGGAATCAGCATTTAGTTTTGTAATGTTTTTATCATTACTCTTAGAATAAGAAAGTTAGGTACAGACAGATACAAGGGTTAGTACTTAGAATAACTTTTAAGAAATGGACTTGGCACGTGGTATGTGTTGTACATATATTTTTATCAAACAAATTTATTTAACAATCCAGTGTCACAAACAAACAGTTGCGAGTATATTTAGCATTTTAGTATATATACGGGATGGTTTAAATTTTCCTATTGTGAATGTTTCATTTCTTGATAGCAATATCTCTGCATCCCCAACCAATGGTGTTTCTGTATTAAAGGGTCTCTTCCTATTATAACGCTTTTGGTGAAAGAATTTGTCAACTGAGTAAC